TATGAAGAACTGCGGACAAAAAGCTTAGTAAAATATGTATGAGTTTCAAGATTAGGACACTCTGAGAATTTTTAGCAGTCATCCACAAAAGGCTAGCGACTGACAAAAGGGCCAAACAATCCAGCGTACCCAATTAAGCATGAAACCGTCATAATATACCTTTTCGGTTAGGCAACCGGCGAACACGGTAAAGCCCTTCTCGATACACCGTAGGGCCAGTTCACGTCCAAATCCTGAATCACAACCAGTGATTAGTACTGCTTTCCTGGAGAAGTCTTCGATTTCGAACAGCTCCCATATGTACCTGTAAAAAAGTGGTTCAAACCGTATCAGTCCTATTTATTAAAGTTTGAATGCAAGTTTTGAGAAGAATGGAGGGCCTTGTTCACGCCTAAGGACATATTCTCTCTTGCTGTAGTGTCTGTGCCTGTAGACCCTCTAGCGCGAACACTGAGCCGGGATGGGTGAAATAGCGGTTTCAGTGCGATCCCCTCCCCCCCCCCCCAGAGTTCCCCTATTCATGTACAACTCACAACACTAATAGCATCTTACCAGCATCTCCCGATTTTCCACTACCTTTCGAAACTTCATCATCTTTTTTCCAAGAGGGCGAGCAGGAAGGGGATATAGCACGCATGCAACGGGAACAATCAACAACCGGGCAGATTTTTCTTCCAACTTGAGAAAACTTCCTTCAAGGCCAGATACGATCGCCGGGATTCTGTCGACGATGCTGCACCTGTTTGGCGGGTACCACAGAGCGCCAGCATCGAATCAATGTCATACCCCTTATCTCTGGGACGGAGGAGGCGTGGCATTGGAACAATGCATTGGATGGTTACTCGTTGGATATTTCAACTTGAGACAAGTGTCATTTTCTTCAACGTTGGACAAAGACATGACCACGATTGTCTCGAAATGACAATATGTCAGAAAAGCGCAGCCACCGCCTCACCTAGTGGAAATGCGTAGCCACGCCTACCACATCTCAGGAAATTCGAGTGTGTATATTCGTGTCTGGATGGTCAGTCTAGAGCCATGGGATATATTTACAGCCAAAACAAGATTTTGACCAAAACTTCAGAAGATGGAGTCACCAGAGTGAACAGTGATGGTTCTTCATCGTGAATATCGTCGCGTATTCATGAAAAATCGTTTGGAGTCTTTGGCTTTGGAAGGTGTGGAAGAGGACTACACTTATTAAGCTCCAAGCTGGCTTCAAATGTGATAGTGCAGAGTCTTTACACATTGAGCTAGCTCGCCGTTTTGAAATAGAAACGAGGGCGTGGCGCACTCTTGAAGAAGCGAAGCTCGAAAGTGTCCTTCTTACAGTGGGGGGAAGGCACCACTGCATAGGTCACGTATTCGTCTATTAAGGCTCCGTGCACGTTCAAACAAGCAATGAAACCTGTCGCCAAAGTTGTTTTATCGATGGGGGGATTGAATATGAGATCATAGGATCATATCTACGAAAAAGACATCAAAAAAAATTTTTATTACCTCGCTATAATATATCCTATTGGAATCAAGCCTATTAAGTACCAGTAGAGCATCTCTGAAATGTATTTCATTGATGAAAGTTCTTGGAGACATGTAATTCTATCTGTAGTCTGTTGTGTGATTCATAGAACATTGCTGCGAGCGGTTGCGACGCGGCTAGCTGCGTTACATAAAAGGATAAGCGTTACATACTCGTTGAAAAAGAGTAGGCTCCACGGAATTTTGGGCGCCACATTTTGAGCATTTTGCAATTTCTTCTGTAAGCTCTTGTGAAGCTGTGAAACGGTTCAGGTATGCCAGTTGAGAGCAGGAATCAATAGGTCTTCACAGGGGGTTTGTACAAGTTTCACTGTGTACTAGTTGGTGCCCCCCACCAGGCCAAAAGCACCGATTCCAGCTCTATCTGCTACAGTTAGGGCACGTCCTTTCGTTGGGGGAAAACTTTGCAAAATACGCCCTCCCCCTTAAAAGGTATAGCGCACTGGAAAGAGGAAAAACCAAGGAAAATCGAAACATGAGCAACCAAAAACATGTTTTTCGAAGGCAAATAGGACCCCCTCCTCAGTCAAACTATCAAATAAGACCCCCTCCCACCTCGCTGGGGATCTCAAAGTACGTGCCTTCAGTGGAATTCTGCCCATATCAACGCATTCAGCAGCCATTCTGATTTATGAACCGCACAGCCGATCGTATTCATTGATATCAATGAAAAGCACGAAGGGAATAAAATCAGGGTAGGAAAGGGAGAGCGCAGTACGGCCAGGGAGGGGGCATTTTGCAGATCCGCTACTTGTCATTGGCGTGTTCATTGCTTTACAAGAGTGGACATTAATTCTTTACAAGAGTTGAAGAGTAGTTTTGAGAATTTTATTACATTTCACCAATCTCTACTTAGTGGCTCGATACGACAATGGGAAGCAGCTAAAGTGCAAAATGCCCATCCATAGCTGAATTGCGCCAGAGAGTATTAAATTTAAAGTGCATTAAATTCATTTTGAAGTTGAAGAATACCTATCG